GTGGAAGGAACAGGCAGAACACAACATGGCGCTGTCTGAAACCAGACAGAAGGAAGAACAAAAGGAGGTGGGAATGCAGCTCAGACAGAGACTGAGGAAAATGCTTCTGAGTACTTCTTCATCCTATTTCCCAAATTCTATACAATGTGGTTTAAACAATAAAAAAGATAACAGGCCAGGTGAGGTGGCTCACATCTGTAATCACAGCACTTCGGGAGGCCCAGGCAGGCAGATCGCGAGGTCAGGAGATCGAGACCAGCCTGGATAACACGGTAAAACCCCGTCTCTACTAAAAATACAAAAAATTACTCGGACGTGGTGGCACTCGCCTGTAATCTCAGCTACTCGGGAGGCTGAGGCAGGAGAATCGCTTGAACCTGGGAGGCGAAGGTTGCAGTGAGCCAAGATCACGCCACTGCACTCCAGCCTGGGCGACAGAGAGGAGACAAAAAAAAAGGACAATAAAAATAGTCTAGGGGAGAGATTTAAATGACAGAACCAGATGGGTGTGGCGGTGCATGCCTATAGATGCAGCAACTCTGGAGGCTGAGGCAGGATGATCGCTTGTCCAGGAGAGCGAGGCTACAGTAAGCTGATCATGCCACTGTACTCTAGCCTGGGTGGCAGAGTGAGACTCCGTCTTTTTTTTTTTTAAGGGATAGAGAAGAAGAGTTTTGTTGTTGTTGTTGTTGTTGTTGTTGTTGTTTTGGTTTGTTTGTTTGTTTTTTGAGACAGGGCATCACTCCGATTGCCCAGGCTAGAGTGCAGTGGTGCAATCTTGGCTCACTGCAGCCCCTCAACCTCCCTGGGCTCAGGCGATTCTCCCACGTCAGCCTCCTGAGTAGCTAGGACTACAGGCACATGCCACCACGCTCGGCTAATTTTTTTTGTATTTTTATTAGAGACAGCATTTCACCATGTTGCCCAAGCTGACTTTGAACTCCTGGACTCAAGAAGTCCTCTCACCTCAACCTCCCAAAGTGCTGGGAATACAGGCATGAGCCACCGTGCCTGGCCAGAAGAGATTTTCAGAATCTACTTTGAGTAGACTGAAAAAAAAGACCATGTTGAAGGAATGGCTTAACAGATAAAGAAAAAAATAATAAAAGAAAATGAAAAGAAAAACCAAAAAGAAAACAGAGGAGCAGATGTTAAAGGAGAGATAGGCAGAAAATTCAACACCATCCTTGAAGTCGAGTGAGGAAACTGAGGCACCAGCAGAACTTGGACAAACCACTCTGTAGCTCTGAGCCCAACCTTTTAACAGGTCACTATAACCTGAGGGGGTGGGAGGACAGAGGGCTGGAGGGGAAGGGAGAGTGAGAAGTCATCTTTCTTGGACTCTTGTCGTGGCCACCCCAGGCCTTCCCAGCTCCCCTCATCTCATCCCCCAAGATGGGCTCCCCTTGCACGCAGAAAAACTCCACCCACACTCCCAGAAGGCCTCAGAAGCGTGGCAGCAGTGACAAGACCACAGGCCCTAAAGAAGAATGGAAAAGAAGAGTTAGAGGGAATGGAAGAAGGAAGAGAAGGAGAGACGCCCGGCGGGGCGGGGGGTGGCAGCTGAGCGGAGGACAGAGGAGCAGGGCTGGAGAGCTGGGCCCAAATCAAGACTGCAGCAGAGAAGTGGGGTGAGGGGGCGGGAGGAGGGACATGGGGGTGATAGAGCCTCCCAGCTCTTCCCTCCCACTCTCCCTCCTCCTCTCTCTCTTACATGATCTTGAAACAACCTTCAAATCTGGGCTGGAGGCCCCAGGAGGCCAGTCACTTAGGAAACAAAACTGTTTCTTGGAGACCTTGAAAGCCCATCTGCAGCTGAGCAGCGTCCCCACCCCCTCCCTGTGCACACACACATTCTCCCATGGACTCTCACGTACACCCACACCCGGCTTCACACAAGCTCCCCACGGGCCCACATGCACGCACACACGGACTCACACGCACCTCTGTACTCAGGCTTGCATACAGATAACCCATTCACAGCAGATTGGCCACACATCTGAATCTGGTCCTCCGGCTGAGGAGCTCCCCCTTTGGAACGTGGTTTGGTACCCCACACCGTCTCATATCACACAAAGGACCAGCGGTCAGGTCCTCCCAGTCACTAACGAGCACGCATCCGTACACAGGTACATGCACATTGCTGTCTGTCTGCAACTCTCTTGGTCTCTCTCTCTCTCTCTCCCCCTCTCTCTCTCTCTCTCTCTCTCTCTCTCTCTCTCTCACACACACACACACACACACACACACACACTTCTTACCAACCAAAGGTTTGATTCAGGACCACTCCATCCTCTCTCTCTTTCATGATCTTCAAATGATTTCCATCCCCACTCTCCCCTTGGTGGACCCCCTTCCTGATCTGTGACTTCCTCTCAGCCCGCTCCCCAGCCCAGGCATCTTGGCCTCCCTTCCTCCTGCTTCCAAGTCTTTCTCTCTCTCTCCTTTGCTCCTCTTACTCCAATGGCCTTGATCCAAACTGGTACTGCTGGCTGTGTCTGAAGAACAGTAGCCCAACCCAGGCACTCCAGATCAAAGGATCAGGTGTCTACCCCTGTTAATGTCCTAAAGCCTGAGGTTCATGGTGGACAAGAAGGAGGGAGAGCCCCCAGAGCCTCAGCTCTCACTGGGCAGGGAGGGTGGTCAGTGACGCACGGCAGAAGAATAGAACCTGGGTGTCCTGCCCACTCTTCCATTTCTCTGAGCCCTAAGGATGTGAGCAGCAGTGCCCCTCGGGCTGTGCTCTCACCCAAATGCAGGGCATGGCAGGGAGCCCCAGCAGGCTGTAGGGGCAGAGGAAGGGCACATCCTTTCCGGTATTGAGCTTGGCCACAGGGACCAGAGCCAGGGCCTTTGGAAGGACTGGGCAGTACTGGGAGGTGCCAGCAGGGGTGAGGGGTGGATGGAAACTGTGAGAGTGCTTGAAGTTTGCACACCTTCAGGCTCGGGGACTAGTGTTTCCTCTTCTATCTCAGTGTGTGTCCTGGAGAGGGCTGGGCAGAAGATTATCCAGGAATTCTAGCCCAGGAACCTACGGAATAGGTCCTTCCTAAAGCCCAACTTATCATGTTGTCCCCGCAGCCCCAGGCAAGGCTGCCCCGGTGTTGACGGCCCTAGCTGCCTCGGGCCGCTCTGTAGTGACTTCTGCTCTTCCAGTCTCTCCTGATGTCTAACCCCAAGCTTTCCTGCTACTCCCCTCTCTCCTCAACACACAGACGGTGAACTGGTATCTGTCCCCTTCATTGTTTCCTCCCGCTGCCCATTCTCCCCCAAGACCAAAGCCAAGGTCAGTGGAGGGGCCATGGGAAGGCCTTGTTGGCCCCATCCTACCCGCCCTTTCTGACTGGAACCCAGAGAGGGAAGGAGGGTGGAAGTGAGATGGGACCTACCAGGTCCCTGTAATGGAAAATCTCAACTGCAGGCCCGAAGGGGGCCGGTTATTTAGGGAATTCAGATGTGAGCCTTGTGCCCTGAGAGTGGATTTGCTAGAGGAGAGGCTGATAATCCCTCTGCAGGGAGTTCCCTCTGGGGCCAGAGAAGGACCCCGCCCCGCCAGCAGGCACCCTAGGCCTCTGGCCAAAGCCCCTCTTCCTTCCTCCCTTTCTGTCTGCTTTCTTTGCACTCAGGACGCTTAGACCTGCCCTACTGGCTTCCCCTCACTGCATCTCTGTGCCCAGAGAAACAGGGCCCCTCCACGGGAATCCTGTCCCCTGACGGTTCCCAGTAGAAGGTGGGAGCAGAGTTTTTTCTTTTCTCTCTGCCCCTTCTGGTTTCCCCTTCCTCTCTGTGCCCCTCATCCTTTGGCTTTTTCATCATATGAACAGCAACAACACCCCTAGACCAGCTGGCCCTGTCCTGGGTCATCTCCTTGCCCCCAGTTTCTAGCTGGTAGAAGGTTAAAGATACCCTGTCCAGCCCCAGGCAAAGCCTCAGGCATTTCTGGGATTGCTCCTGACTCTGGCGGGCATCCTCACTGCTCAGACATTTCCAGTCTCCCCCACTGCGCTGCAGAGAGGCCCCTTCTCCAGCCTCGGTCCTTCGCGCGGCAGATTCGCCTTCCCCTCCCCACTGGAGGAAGGAAGCAGTCATTTCCTTTCTCATTCACCTGTCTCATAGTTGCTGTGATATTGACCTCCACACACATCTTAGAGGTTCTGTGTTTTCCTCTTTTGACTTCTCGCTAACACTACTCACCAACCCCAGGCACAGTTCAGTCTGGAGCTCTTCCACAGGATGACACGATAAACGAGGGGGAAGCAAAGCCCAGAGGTGGCATCAGATCCCTGCTAGGGGGTCCCACAGTTCCCCTCTAGCCCTGGCCTGCCCCTCTCTACCCAAGTCTTGATTATCCTCCAAAACTTTGGAGAGATTACACCTGGCAGGGTTTGGGGACACGCTCTCGCCTCCATCTCCAAACTTCCCACTGCCTCTTGAGCCACCTTTGACTCCACCTGGGGCCCCTTTCCAGGTGCTTCAATTGCAGAGGTCAGCCTTCAGTTCCAATTCTAACTATTTCTGGGCTTTAGTGGCCCTGCAACCTCTCTAGTGGAGGGAACAGAGGACTCTATGTTTCTTTCTTTCACTGGGATGTTGGTTGTAGACTCAGGATACCTGAGTTCTGGTTCTGTCTTGTCAATTCAAATTGTTTAATCTCTCTGAGCCTCAGTTTCCCCACTTGGAAAAGAAGAGTTAGACCACATGGCCTCTGTCATCCTGGGATTCTGAGTCAACTGAACCCCCTCAACCAGATCTTAGGGGGCACATCCCCCCTACCTGGGACCCGGGCCCCCTTCCCTGGCAGCCTCTCTCAGTTGTGAGTGCCTCGGGCCAGAGGGGGTTGAAAGGAGCCGGTTGGGGGGGGGGCAAGCCTCAGGACAAATGGGCTGTCTAGGGCCAGTGGCCAAAGGGGCGGGAGGGGAGGAGTCCTCAGGGATCCTGTTTCAACAAACGTTTCTTTCGGAGGAGGAGAAGGCGGGGGAGGGGGGAGAGGGACCTATTTAAGGCTACCCTGTTGCTTTGGCTGTCTCCGTCTGCCAGGGTCTCCGGGACGGGACACGGGCTGGTGTGGGCTTGGGATCCTCCTGGTGACCTCTCCCGCTAAGGTCCCTCAGCCACTCTGCCCCAAGATGGGCCGTGGGGTGAGTATCCCTAAAGAGCAGGGGCTGTACTCTGGAGCTCGAGGGAGGCTGCTGAGGAGGGATGAAGTGGGAATGGGATGTGGAAGGAGTGGGAGAGAAAAGCCGAGTGGGATACTTGGAACTTGGAATTAACAGTCTCCAAACTACCAATGCGTGTACAGATCTACAGCGCTGACCTACCCTAGTGCCCTCCTCACTCTGCCTGGCCCGGCCCCCTGCCCACAATTAGACCCTCAACCCACCACACACGCCCCTCTAGCCCTCCCTTCACCCCTCACCCCCAGCTCTAGCCCTTCCCCAAGGCAGTCCCTCCTCTCACTGCATCTCCTGGCCTCCCAGCTGGAAGGATGTTTGGCACTGCGAGTCCTCGCGTCTTTGCCACCCGCTGAAAATATCCATTCCTCTGGGAGTCCTAGCCTGAGCGGCTGGGGGTCCAGTTTGAGGTTAGAGAGGGGCAGGGGAGCATCTGGCTTCCAGAGTCACCAAGCAGTTCCGGACACCAGCTACAGGGGCCCTGAGTGCCAGGGACAGCTGGGTGGGGTGTGGGGAGGAAGAGCGGCGTGCCTCAGCCCCCACCCCCCACCCCAGCACCCCTCCGGATGTCCCGAGCAGCATTGTCCATGGGCTCTAAGCCATGGGCTTTGAGGACTTTCACAGAGGCTGGTGAGAGTGACCCCCCAGTCCACTTGTCCATGGCATTCTGCAGCAATGGCTATGCCAAAGCAAAGATTAACAACCACAATGGGGCGGGCAGGGACAGAGCTTTGAATTCTTGGAAATGAAATTCCCATATGGAGAAGAGTGGACCAATCCCTTTACATACTGTGCCTGGCTGCTTTCCTTTTGTGGAGTACTGGCAAAAGAGGACACAGAGGGAAAGGACATGGGGAGGAACGGGAGGGTGTGAGGAAGACCCTGGCCACGGGGAGCCGTGGGTGCTTCTGGGCCCAGGAGGAGTCAGGCAAGCACATGTTATTGCACCAAGTAGAGCAGCTGGGAAATTCTGAGCCTGGACACCAGGGTTCCTGAGCTAGGGTCAGAGCCATAAATAGAATCTGTGTGTGCATGTGTGTGTGTGTGTGTGTGTGTGTGTGTGTGTCTGTGTGTCTGTGTGTGTGTCTGTGTGTGTGTCTGTGTGTCTGTGTGTGTGTGTGTCTGCGTGTGTGTGTGTGTCTCTCTGTGTGTGTCTGTGTGTGTGTGTGTGTGTGTGTGTGTGTCCATGACCACGTGCTCTCCATAGGCAGGGAGTGCGGCAGTTATTCACGGATGAGCACCGGTGTTTGTGTCTCAGCAGGCAAATTTGTAAATGTACAAGCCTTCAAGCCTGCACAAGCATAGTTGTCACTGTGGGAGGGTGCTTGAGAATCTGTGGGCCTGCCCTTAGGAGCTGTGAGGTATGAGTTTCACGGAGGAAGAGGCCGTAGCTGCGGGAAGACATCTGTCTGGGAACCTTTAGCCGCATCTTGACATCTTTGGCTCCCCATAGAAAGGGCATCCCCAGCTGAGATGCAGGACCTCTGAGAAGAGGCAGGGGTTAAAGGGTCAGACAAGCCCTCCAAGCCTCCATCCAAATGGAGAGAGAAGGCGGGGAGGGTAGCCCCCTCCCTGCTCCATCTCAGAGTGAGATAGACCCAGCTTAGGAGGTCCTGCTTGGGAAGGGATGAGACCTTGACTTCTGCAGTCTGTCCTTTTCCCCTAGCACCCCCAAACTCCCCTTAACCACCATCCTCAATTGCTGTGGGTGATGCAAAAGCAAGATGAGAAGCAGATTTGGGCTGTTTCAACTAAGAGGCTAGGTGAAGTGGGGGTACTTAGGGCCTGAGCTTGTAGTTCAACCTACCAGAGACCCCTGAAGAGGGGAAGCATCTGCTACCCACAATCTGTTCTAGGGATCATTTTGCCTCCAATTCCTTCTTCCCTGCATCTCCACTCCAGAGCCAGGTTTAACTGTCCCCCCATCACCCAGTGGCTGTGAAGGGCAGCGTGGGAGCTGGGGGAAGGGACGACACTGGTGGGAGGGAGCCCAGCCTGCTCCAGCTGCCACGGAGAGGCTGAGATGGGGGGAGCGTTGGCGGATTCCCAGCTGCCCCCACTCTGTCCCAGCCTCTGGCTTTCTCAAAAAGGACTCTCTGTTCTCCTTCAGCATTCAAGACCCAGAGAGGGGGACTTGTGGCTCGGGGAGGGAGAAGCGGAGGGAGGTTGGGGGGGGTGGTCCTTGCTTCCTCTCTTTCTTTCTTGCCTGGGCAGCCGCTGGCCCCAAATCTCCACAGGCTCCTGGCTGCAGAGCCTGAAATCCTTGCCAGGACAGGAGGAGGGGGAAGGGGCAGTGTGTCCCAAGCTCTGAGCCTGCTGGAGAGCAGGGTGGGAGCTTGGGGAAAGGAGACACTACATGGAGTTGCTTAGCTCAGGCACAATCCAGCATGCCAAAGTGCATGGACCAGCAAGTTTTTAAAAAGCATGCATTTGATTCCAATTTTTATGAACTTTATTTCGCATCTGAATATACAGAAATTCCTCTGCGCCTTGCTCCTCTGCCCACAGCCCCAGCCCTGCTCCTCTGTGCATGCCCAGGCCTGCTTCTGTCCCTGAAGTTCCTGAGGGTCACACTGGAGCTCCATCAGCCTGACCTCTTGCCTCTGGTCTCTTGATTGCATTTCATCCTTTTCTCAGCTCTGTCCCGCTGCAGACCGTTAGTGAACCTAAAGCACTTCAATCCATTCAGTTAAATGAATTATCGCAAGTCACCTGGGAAAGGGAGAGGTAGAACCACTCACAAGCCTTTCCCCACCCCTTCCATTGGGCTGCTCTGGTCTCCCCAAGGAGATCAGCCTTTAGGAGGCCAAAACGATACCAGACTCATAGATGCTGGTATGGAGACAAACGCACGAGTTTACAGGTCACCTTTTCTGAGAAGAGTACTTCTGAGCCACACAGCCCCCAAAAGCTCATATCCTTTTAAATCATTGGTATCTTGGGAGCAATAGTGTTGGCTTCTCCCTGCATCCCCTACCCTCACCCTTGCTCCTGATTGTCCTGGTCAGACTTCTACCTCTCAAGATGCTGGACTGGTGACCTCTTATGAACAGGAGAGCTGCCACCTTTCCGGGATTGCTCCCGACTCCGATGGGTAAAATATGCATTACCCTAAAGCATGAACGATTTAGGGAGTGAAGCGATCCCATATGATATCACCACGGTGGATACATGTCACTATACATTCGTCCAAACCCATAGAATGTACACCAAGAGTAAACTCAAACTTAAACTATGGGCTTTGGATGACAAAGATGTGTCAATGCAGGTTTATGATTGCAACAAATGTACCACTCTGGTGCAGGGTGTTGATAGTGGGGGAGGCTGTGCATGTGTGGGGGCAGGAGATACATGAGAACTTTCTCTACTTCCCACTCGATTTTGCTGTGAACCAAAAAATTGCTCCAAAAAAGTCCATTTTTTACAAAAGCGAACAAAACCCCCAAAACTGCATTATCCTGAAAAAAAAAAAAAAAAAAAAAAGCAAACACCTTGGCTGTGGATCCTACCCAGGTATCCACTGTTTCTGGGAAACTAAAATTGCATCATGGTGTGGGAAAGCTAATTCCTGAAAGCCTAGTGCAGACTCTGTAGAGTCCAATGGAGAAGCAGTGGCCAGGTGGAAATTGAGCAGCCCCTCTATGACAAGACCCTATTTCCTGAGGGAAGAGGGACGAGAGAAGACTGGGGCAGAAAAGGAAGTAAGGAGGTACCTTTTTTGGAATTTTTCATGGCCACCCAGGCCTTCCTCAGCCTCTATCCTATTCTGTCACCCCAAGAGGGCCTCCTCTTGGAAGGAAAGATTCCCACCCTCTGCCCCAGAAGTTCCCTGTGAGACCCTGGAAGGCTGGTGGTGGTGAGGCCTCAGGCCCTGGAGTGGAAGGGAAATCAGGAGCCTCATAAGGCTACAATTAAAATGATTAAAAGGTTCATCTGGTCAGGCGCCTTGGCTCTCACCTGTAATCCCACCATTCTGGGAGGCCAAGGTGGGAGGATCACTTGAGCCCAGGCAATTATCCCTAAAAAAAAAAAATTGTTTTTATTTAGCTGAGTGTGGTGGTAGATGCTTGTGGCTCCAGCTACTTGGGAGGCTGAGGGGGGAGGATTGCTTCAGCCCTGGAAGTGGAGGGTGCAGTGAGCCGAAATTGCACACTGCGTTCCATCCTGGGTGACAGAGTGAGATCCTGTCCCAAAAAAAAAATTCCATCTGATATTCACCAGATGACCCAGGAATGTCTAGACTTGAGAGTTATATAAATTGTAGTTTTAGATTTACTCTCAGATACAATTTCTTATGTTTTGGGACAAATGGGGCTCAGTTCCCATGTTACCCAATTTTGCTTTGTGGAGGGTCCAGTCCTGTGAGTTGCCACCTGTCTAGTAACAGGCAGGCCTGCCCAGCAGGATGGAGAGAGCTCCCAGCACACCCCGTGTCCCCAGTTCCCGGACACGGCCTGACTCTCCAACCACTGCCTCCTCTCAGCCCATCAGCCCTGCTCTTTCCATCCCCACCACCAGACCTGACTCTCTGGACACGTTCCTGCCTAACCTCCTGGCTCCCCAAAGACTCTTACTCCCCCAAGTTCCTATCTCTACCCCTCTCTAAGTAAAACTGCCACGGTGTTGGGTTAAGACAGTCCTACAGAGTGATTCTACTCCCTCAACAACCCCCCCCCCAACAAATTCCTGTCCACTCCCTTCCAGAAGTCTCCCAAACAGTGTAGGATGCAGGTTTTCAATATTTGTTTTGTTTTGTATTTAGCAGCAGGTTCTTTTCCACAAACAAAATCTTAGCCAAAGCCCAAGCATGAAACCACTCAGGTGGTGCTTTTCAGCCCTGAGCCCCTCACCTTTCCCTGAAGCTCACCTGGGAGCCCTCTGGTTCTGCCAGGTCTACAAGCTTAGGACCTCGGGTCCCTCCACCCTCCATCCTCCCTTTCTCTCCCAAGGCAGCCACTGCTTTTGAGCCCACCGCCCCTACTGCCTGGACTTCCCGGCTGAGTGGTGGGAACGGAAGCTCCAGCCCCTCTCCTCCCTGACTCTCAGGCTCTCCCTTCCTCCCACAGGCCGGCCGTGAGTACTCGCCTGCCGCCACCACTGCAGAGAATGGGGGCGGCAAGAAGAAACAGAAAGAGAAGGAATTGGATGAGCTGAAGAAGGAGGTGGCAATGGTGAGGCCCACAGCCCACCCTGCTGGGCCGTGGAGGAGGGGCCCCATGCTGGGAGAGCTGTCCCTGCAGCCCATTGCACTCAGAGAAACTCCGTGTCCCCCATGCTGCTCCCCTCACTCCTGCGCCCCCGCAGTGCCTCAAATGCATCTTAGATACCTCCTCCCCGAAGTAACTCACCTTCCCTTCCCCAGGATGACCACAAGCTGTCCTTGGACGAGCTGGGCCGAAAATACCAAGTGGACCTGTCCAAGGTTAGCCGAGGGGCTTCTAGGGAAGGAACAAAAGAGGCAAGGGCAACATGCAGCAGCAAGGCGGCAGCAGCCTTAAAACTGTAATCCAGCCGAGCACGGCAGCACGTGTCTGTAGTCCGAGCCACTCGGGAGGCTGAGCTGGGAGGATCGCTTGAGCCCAGGAGTTCTGGGCTGTAGTGCGCTATGCCAATCGGGTGTTCGCACTAAGTTTGGCATCGATATGGTGACCTCCTGGGAGCGGGGAACCACCAGGTTACCTAAGGAGGGGTGAACCAGCCCAGGTCAGAAACGGAGCAGGTCAAAACTCCCATGCTGATCAGTAGTGGGATCACGCCTGTGAATAGCCACTGCACTCCAGCCTGGGCAACATAGGAAGACCCCACTTCTTTAAAAAAAAAAACAAACTGTAATCCAGCCCTCTTTACAGATGAGGAAAATGAGGCCCAGAAACAAGGGACTGGGCCAAGGTCATGTGGCTAATTGGTGGCACAGCCAGAACTAGAATCTAGATCTTCTGCATCCTAGCCCAAAGCTCTGTCCCTGGATACCCTAGAGGCCAGGACTCACTAGAACCCAGGCCCCAGAGGACCTCCAGGCGGGGCCCTTTTCTCTACCCCCAGCAACTTCAGTCACACACAGCCTTCCACAGAGCTGACAGCGCAGGCACGTGGGCTGACAGCCCATTCCTGTGGTTACAGTGATTTGCTGGGCCCTTGCTACGTATGTGACATAGTGAAAGAGGCTTTACATACATTCTCTAATCTTTACAACAACCCTTTGAGATAGGTATGGCAGACCTGTTTATTAAAGAAAAGAGACACAGAGAGGGAGAGTAGCCTTCTAAGGTCACATGAACAGTAAGTGGTACAGTCAATCGCTGAGCCCTTCAATTAAAAATTTCTTTAAAAATCATTAATCAAAAATTGCTGGGCATGGTGGCTCACGCCTGTAATTCCACCACTTTGGGAGGCTGAGGCAGGCAGATTGCTTGAAGTCAGGAGTTCAAGGCCAGCCTGGGCAATGTGGCAAAACCCCATCTCTACTAAAAATACAAAAATTTGCTGGGCACAGTGACAGGTGCCTGTAATCCCAGCTACTCGGGAAGCTGAAGCAGGAGAACCACTTGAACCCAGGAGACAGAGGTTGCAGTGAGCTGAGATCGCGCCACTGTAATCCAGCCTGAGTGACAGAGTGAGCTGAAGGGATCACGGTGGGGGCTGGGTCGGCTCCGGACGCATCCCCCTACGCCTCTCCTTTCTCCCTCAGGGCCTCACCAACCAGCGGGCTCAGGACATTCTGGCTCGAGATGGGCCCAATGCCCTCACACCACCTCCCACAACCCCTGAGTGGGTCAAGTTCTGCCGTCAGCTTTTTGGGGGGTTCTCCATCCTGCTGTGGATTGGGGCCATCCTCTGCTTCCTGGCCTACGGCATCCAGGCTGCCATGGAAGATGAACCATCCAACGACAACGTGAGCCCACACGCCTGACCCCTGGAGCAGCCTGTGACTGTCCTTCAACCCTGAACCCCCAACACAGTGGCGGGTGGGCAGGGAACAAGGACTTCCCATCACAATCCTACAGACGCACTGCAGTTTAGGCTGGAATGGGGTGAGGCTTCTATATATATATCTGTAAAGCACTTTCCACCACACAAGGCATACACACTCACATACTCGTTAATTAATGAGACAATCTCTCCCTGTTCCTCCCCACTTAAGTGAGCCTGTCTGCATGCCTGTCTTCCCCCACTAGCAAAGTCCTAACCCTGGGAATTTCCTAAGACTTTCTCTCTGTTTCCAGTCTTAGCAGGCTTGAGGTTGGCAGATCAAGGGGGAGGTTAGTGAGAAGGGCTTTCCCCTACCATCATCACTCTCAGTCACAGACAAAGGTCGGGCTGTCATCTTGGATGGCTCTGCCTGCTCATCCCAAGTGGCAGCTGCCCTTTTAGGGTTGGGGGGAAGGGCAGGTCCCTGAAACTCTTTCTCCTTACCAGCTATATCTGGGTGTGGTGCTGGCAGCTGTGGTCATTGTCACTGGCTGCTTCTCCTACTACCAGGAGGCCAAAAGCTCCAAGATTATGGATTCCTTCAAGAACATGGTACCTCAGGTAAGATGGCAGGCCTGGGCTCTGGGCTAGGGCGTAAGGTTTCGGCAAGAGTTCAACTCATCTTCTCTCAACTCCTGTGCTCTGAGATGGAGCCGCGTGGAAAAGATCTTCCAGCTCTCCACGCCAGTCCCTGATTTTTCATGGGCCGTCTCCTTCTGCTTGGCGGGGTTGGAGGAGAGGTGGGAGACCAGCAGGAGAAGAAGGCGGGGGCAGAAACAAGAATTTCATGTGCTGCCCGTGGCTCCCCACAGCAAGCCCTTGTGATCCGGGAGGGAGAGAAGATGCAGATTAATGCAGAGGAAGTGGTGGTGGGAGACCTGGTGGAGGTGAAGGGCGGAGACCGAGTCCCTGCTGACCTCCGAATCATCTCTTCTCATGGCTGTAAGGTGAGGAGGCCACACTGGAGCGAGCGGTTGAGTCTAAGGGCCAGGCTGTGCAGAGCCGAGAGGGGCCCAGTGAGGTTTAAAGGTGGGGAGGCCCAGGTCCAAATGTCAGCACCTTGCCTATGCCCCTGCCTAACCTTCTCTCAGCGTGGGGTGCTTGCGCAGGGCCTCCTTGCACCTGCGTGTTGCAAGTGCTCTATGCCCCAGGTGTTTCTTTGTGGTCCTCTTTTTAGCAATCATGTATTGAGTACCAATTATGTGTCAGCTGCTTTATATGTGTTCACATGTGCTATCTGATGTAATTCTGAAAGAATGGTGTGACCATGTAGGGCTGCTGCATGTGGCCACACACGTTGCATCCTGAAGGACCCCAGGAGGTGCATTTTCATAAACTACAATGTTAGTGGCGCCCCCTGTGGTTGTGCAAGGCAGAGATTCTGTTTACATTCCTCATTTTACAGATGAGTACATGGAGGCTCTGTTGGTTAAGCAAGTAACCCAAGGTCACATAAGAAGTCAGGAGTAAGATTTCCAAACCAGAACAGGGGCAATAGCTGAGTAATGCCATAAATATGTGATGAGGGCAAGTGTAACTTTGTTCCTCATCATGAAGACTGAGTGTGGTTGGAGGTGGTTCAGGAGACAGCTGTGTGCATACGAGTGGCCCTGCCAGTGTGATGACTATGCACCCCTTCCTCCTCAGGTGGATAACTCATCCCTAACAGGAGAGTCGGAGCCTCAGACCCGCTCCCCCGAGTTCACCCACGAGAACCCCCTGGAGACCCGCAATATCTGTTTCTTCTCCACCAACTGTGTAGAAGGTGAGAAGCCAGCCTGCACACTGTGGGAGGGTCTGAATCCTGAATCCACAGTCAGGATAAAGGGATCTGGTAGTACTTACCTGGCAAAAGCTCTGCCATTGGTGGGGCAATCGAGGGGGCCCTGAATATTACAGAAACACCCTCCAGAGGGCAGGGTATTGGCTGCGGGCGGCATGACTACATGGGAAATGTATCTTCATTCCCCAGGGAGATCTCTATTCTGTCCACCCCAAGACTGAGTGGATTCCAAAGCTTTCAGATACTGGGTTAAGACCCCCTTAGACATGCACACACAGAGATGCACATATGCTCAGAACCAACCTGGATTCTTAGGAGTCTTTGGGTTTCACTGATGCTTCTATTCCTTGTGGTTCTGGACCTAGGTGCCTCCTTCTCTAACCTTTGCTTTGACCAAGGCCCCAGGCTGTGGGAGAGCCAGGAAGGCATTCAGGCCCAGTGGATTCGTGGGCCCTTCTTCAGGCTGCTTCTAAACCTTTGTTACACCGAAAGACATGTGTCACCAGACACAGGCTGCCCAGTTTGCCCCATCCCTGTTCTGGGTTCTAGAGATACACATAGGTCAATAAGAACTCCCAGAGCTGCCATCACTTAACAGCAGGGGTCCCAGCGCAGCTGAAACCTGTGCCCTCTGTGGTCAGTGAGTGGAGGCAGGGCTGACTTAGAGAAGGAGTGGGAAGGAAGAGACAGAAAGAGGCCTCACTAGACCACCAGCCTCTGAAAGTAGGGCAAAGGAGGCCTTGTACCCCAATCCACACCCCTACCCATTACTCATTTCTCCTCAGTGTATTATGTTTCTCTGGGGTTTTTTCCTCCTTCCACAAGTTGGAATTACAGTCACTGCTTGGAATGCTTGAGGGATTAGCTCCAGGACCCCCTTGGTTACCAAAATCCAAGGATGTTCAAGCCCCTGATATGAAATGGCATAATATTTGCATATAACCTGTGCACATCCTCCCATATACGTTAAATCACCTCTAGAATACTTACAATACCGAGTACAATGTAATTTGTTGCACTGTTTTGTTTTTAAATTTGTATTATTTTTATCGTCATATTGTTATTTTTTTTAGCTCCAAATATTTTCAATCTGAGGTTGGTTGAATGTGTGGACATGGAATCTGTGGATACAGAGGGCCAACTGTGCAAATAAAAATCACCACACATTACATTTTCTAAATTTGTTTTTTGTTTTGCTTTTGAGACAGGATCTTGCTTTGTCACCCAGACTGTAGTACAGTGGCGCGATCACAGCTCACTGCAGCCTTGACCTCCCAGGCTCAAGTGATCTCCCACCTCAGCCTCTAGAGTAGCTGGGACTACAGGCATGTGACACCATGCCCAGCCTATATATATATATATATGAGTGTATATATATATATATATATATGTATGTATGTATGTATATATATTAGAGATGGGGTCTCACTATGTTACCCAGGCTGGCCTCAAATTCCTGGGCTCAAGTGATCCTCTTGCCTCAGTCTCCCAACGTGTTGGGACTACAGGCATGAGCCACCAAGCCTGGCCACATTGCCTAAATTTTTAATGTACTGAGATTCTGAAATTTACATTTCCCACAATTGATTTATGCAGAAATGCCTAGTAATATGGTCCCATTGCTTACTCTGCAATTGGCTTTGAGAAGAGGAGAGGAAATACAAATATTTCATTTGAAGTATTTGTTGAGCACCCACTATGTTCCAGGCACTGGTCTAAGGGTATTAGAGTGTCATCTCATCTAAATATTAGGACAACACCAAGATAGGAATTCAAATAAGGATTCAAACCCGAATTTAGCTTGGTCCATTGTGTATGCTTTTTCTAATGCACCATGCATCTTTCCCAGAAGACCCCTGTAATGTCACCCAAGGGTTAGCCATTGCCTGGCTTTCTCTGTAGAGATAAATCCCTTATGTTGAGAAAGAAAATCTTAAGACTGAATGGAAAATCCATAATGAGTGCTTTACTTTGTGTTCATAATATATTTTTGGATGGTATCAAGTATACGATCGATTTTACCAAAATGCCACAGGCAATTTTTATGTATAGAATCTCCTCTATTTGACCTTTGAGATTATTTGCAAGCTTCTCCCCAGGCCCAAGTACAAAAGAAAATAATTTGCTGTTGTATCGATTCTGGGATTGGCGATCTATCCTGGGAAAGGAAGGCCAAGTGGGGACAACCTACCAAATGTGGCCTCCAGATCTGTGGCTTTGGCTCACCCATGCCGTGATGGGTTTCCTTGCTCAGGAAGTAGGACGGGACTACAGTCCCTGGGAGCCACAAGGCACCCAACCTGATGTCCCCCCATGTTGCAGGCACAGCCAGGGGCATCGTGATTGCCACAGGTGACCGGACGGTGATGGGCCGCATAGCCACGCTCGCCTCAGGCCTAGAGGTTGGGCGGACGCCCATAGCCATGGAGATTGAACACTTCATCCAGCTGATTACAGGGGTTGCTGTTTTCCTGGGGGTCTCCTTCTTCGTGCTCTCCCTCATCCTGGGCTACAGCTGGCTGGAGGCAGTCATCTTTCTCATCGGCATCATCGTGGCCAACGTGCCTGAGGGGCTTCTGGCCACTGTCACTGTAAGTGGGTCACGCTGAGGTGCCACCAGGGGAGGGTCTCACTACTCTTTCCTCAGAGTGATAGAGGCACTATTGCTTGTAGCTTCTCAGTGCTTTTTTTCCCTTAGAGTCACACAATGGATGCTATACTCAGAGATCACTTAATACGCAGCTCAGAGCGGGAGTTGAGAAATCTCAGGTGGGGCTATACTTGGGCACTCAATTTCTCTTCTGGAGCTTGTCACGGTTGCCTTTTCTCAGGATCTGCCAGCAGTCTGGGTCTCATTCCGGCCAATCTCCTGTAAAGGCTCTCTCAAAGGTCACCAGTCACTAACTAGCAAATCCAGTGACCTTTTCTCAGTGCTCCTCTCTAACCCCGCTGCTGAAACAGATACTGCTGTCCACCCTCCCAGCATTCTCTCTTTTGTCAACTGCTGTGATACGTCACTATCCTGGTTCACTTTTCCTCTGTCCCCTCCTGCACCCCTTATGCTGATTCTCAGGCCTCAGCTCTCTGCTCTTCCTATGCCCGGAGTAAGAGCCAATCTCCCCCGAGTTTCCAGTGTCCCTTCTGTGTGGATGACTCACACATCCCTATGCCCAGCTCTGCTCTGGCCCTCTCTGGAGTTCTAGTCGAATGTCTTCAACCCCCTACCTGGCATGTCATCTTGATAGATAGTCATGATCTCAACACATCCAACATTGAACATTCCTCATTTACAGCTAAGTCCCACCCATTCAAGTTAGCGGGGTAGATCAAGGGAGAAGGAATGGAGCCATGGTCTAGGGTAAGGTCATGGCCATCTCCAGCTCCAGTCTGAAGTGTTTTTATTCTCCTCTTTCTCTTCCAGGTGTGCCTGACCCTGACCGCCAAGCGCATGGCGCGGAAGAACTGCCTGGTGAAGAACCTCGAGGCAGTGGAGACGCTGGGCTCCACATCCACCATCTGCTCGGACAAGACGGGCACCCTCACCCAGAACCGCATGACCGTCGCCCACATGTGGTTCGACAACCAAATCCATGAGGCTGACACCACCGAAGATCAGTCTGGTGATGGGGTGCTCCAGAGCGGGTGGAGAGGATTAGAGGACTCGGGGGGCAGTGGTGTGGTGAGGGGGGTGGGGTGAGATAAAGGCTCTGAAGGGAGCCACGCTCCTGGTTCTCACTTGTTTCCTCCCAGGGGCCACTTTTGACAAACGATCCCCCACGTGGACGGCCCTGTCGCGAATTGCTGGTCTCTGCAACCGTGCAGTCTTCAAGGCAGGACAGGAGAACATCTCTGTGTCTAAGGTAGGGGGTTGGCACACACACAACAGGTGTGTTTTGAGAGTGTCTCCAAAGGCCTCTGGCTGGCCACACCCAGCCTTCCCTCTCACACACTGTGGCTGCCCTGGGGGCTTCAGTGCCCCCTTCACCCGATCCTCCGCTCCCTTTTTCCCACACGGACACTGAATTCTTGTCTCTTCTGGCAGCGGGACACAGCTGGTGACGCCTCCGAGTCAGCTCTGCTCAAGTGCATCGAGCTGTCCTGTGGCTCAGTGAGGAAGATGAGAGACAGAAACCCCAAGGTGGCAGAGATTCCTTTCAACTCGACCAACAAGTACCAGGTCTGCTTGGGTTGCCAGGACAGAGGAAAAGGGAAAGATAGAAATGGGAGGTGGGGGGGTGGGCAAAGCCACAGGGAATCATCACTAGGAGGAGCCAGGGCACCCGAGGGTGGCGTTCCCTCCCCCTGCCACGCCCCCCAGGACAGCTCATGTGACTGCATGTCTGATTGCAACTAACCCCAGCTCCCAAAGCTTACTCCATTCCTTACTATAATCTGTCACTCTCTCAACTCTCCTTCCCATGGCCCCCCACCCTCTGGCCTAGCCTCCCAACTCTTATACCCCATTCAGTGAAACCATAATTCTGTAATTCCCTTACGGTGCCCCATAGACTTTAGGCACCTGTTGAATGCCAAGATTGCAGTCTCAGCCTTCTGTATCATCTATAGAGGTAAAGTCCCCTGACTGAAGCCAGGTGGTGGTGGGGACGCTGAGGAGGGAGCTGTCCAGCCCCTAGCACAGTGCCTTCTTAAACAGACCTCAATAAACATTTGTTGAATGAATGACTGTCCTATGGAGGTGGCTCCCAGCTTACAAGAGTTGGAACTGTACGGTCCAAACACCCCCCTGCCCAAGGAGATCCTCTTTATTGACAATCTTCAATGGGTCAGGGCTACTTTGCTAAGGCAGCTTCCTTACCAGCTGCTGCTCTATGCTGAGCTACAAACTCAAGCGTGACCCTCCCTGTAACTGCCTGTTGTCTCTCCAGCTGTCCATCCATGAGCGAGAAGACAGCCCCCAGAGCCACGTGCTGGTGATGAAGGGGGCCCCAGAGCGCATCCTGGACCGCTGCTCCACCATCCTGGTGCAGGGCAAGGAGATCCCGCTCGACAAGGAGATGCAAGACGCCTTTCAAAACGCCTACATGGAGCTGGGGGGACTGGGAGAGCGTGTGCTGGGTAAGAGGCCAGAAACAGGAGGCCCAGAAGGGGGTTCCCAAGCCTCCATGGCATCCCTGGGATGAAGGACTGTGGGGGCGTCTAGGAAGCCATCTGTGGCTCTCACTGCTCCCTTCTGCCCCTTTTCAGGGTTCTGTCAACTGAATCTGCCCTCTGGTAAGTTTCCTCGGGGCTTCAAATTCGACACGGATGAGCTGAACTTTCCCACGGAGAAGCTCTGCTTTGTGGGGCTCATGTCTATGATTGACCCTCCCCGGGCTGCTGTGCCAGACGCTGTGGGCAAGTGCCGAAGTGCAGGCATCAAGGTACTGGCCTCCCTTCCTCCCCACCATCCTAGCCTCCCTCATGCCAGAGGTCTAGGGGCTGCAGTGGCTGCTGCCCTGAAGAGGCCTAGGCCACAGTGGCCTCCTTCCCACTGACTCAGAGAAGCTGTCCATGTGCAAGTAAAGGCCCAGCCCTGCCTGGAGCACTCACCCTCATCCCTGTTGCTCAGAGAGGCCAGTGCCCCATGCCCCTCCACTTCCTCCCTGGCACATCTCATTGTCCCATCTGCATGTGCACCCTTCCATTCTGATTTGAAGCACAATCAAATCAGAATGGGGGTTGATGCTGGAACGCTGGGGCAGGGCCAGTTGGAAGGACTTGGCTTAAATGCCAGACTCGGGCTTTATCCTGCAGGCCACAGAGAGCCAGCAGTGTCACGGGGCAGGTCGATCTTTGAGGGGACTACCTGGTTGGAGAGGGACTGGATTTGGGGAAGAACTGGAGTCAGGGAGAGACAGGTGAAGAGGCCATTGCCATCGTTCAGGCAAGAAATGATGACCTGAACTAGGGCAGCCACAAAGGGAGCGGAGGGGAATAGCCATGTTTGAGAAATGTTTCAAGAACTTGGTGACAACTGGATATGGAAGGTGAGGAAGATACAGGAGAGAAGGGGACAGGATGAGTCTTGTTTACTGTGCACAGGTGTTTGCACAGTGTCTGATACACAGTAAATGCTCTGTGCCACATGACACAAGCAAATGGGACAATGAGCTAGTCAGAGAGGGTACATATAAATCAAGCACTATTCTAAGCACTAAACCTGTATGATTGCGTTTAATCTACACAACAACCCTGTGAATAGCACTAGCATTTTTCCTTTTTTACAGCGAGGGAAGCTGAGGCACGAAGTAAGATGCCAAGGCCACACAGCTAGTATAAGTCATAGAGCCAGGACTTGAACCAAGGCAGTCTGCTATTCTTAACTTTCACACCAGGAGACTTGGTGCTATGTATGTATGTGATTTCTTTTTTCTTTCTTTCTTTCTTTTTTTTTAAATCTCTCTTTTTTAATTTATTATTATTTTTTTTTTTGTAGAGACAGGGTTTCATTTTGGTTAGGCTGGTCTCGAACTCCTGACCTCAGGTGATTCACTGCCTCGGCCTCTCAAAGTCCTGGGATTACAGGCACAAACCACCACGCCTGGCATATGTATGTGATTTCTGAGCCCCATAACCACCATGTCTCCAAGGCAGGAATCATTATCCCTGTTAAAAGTGAAACAAAGCTGGGCATGGTGGCTCACGTCTGTGATCCCAGCACTTTAGGAGGCCGAGGCAGGTGGATCGCCTGAGGTCAGGAGTTTGAGACCAGCCAAGATGGTGAAACCCCGTCTCTATTAAAAAAAAATACAAAAATTAGCCACACATGGTGGCAGGTACCTATAATCCCAGCTACTTGGGAGGCTGAGGCAGGAGAATCGCTTGAATCCAGGCGGGAGAGGTTGCAGTGAGCCGAGATTAGGCCACTGCACTCCAGCCTGGGCAACAGGAGCAAGACTCCATCAAAAAAAAAAAAAAAAAAGTAAAACAAATGGAAACTGTGAGTGGGTAAGTCATTTTCCCAAAATAAAACTGCCAGTAAGTGATGGACTGGAACTATGAAGCGTGGTCTGCTTGACCGGAAAGCCTGAGCTCCTGCTGCTTGGCCAGGTGCCTCTCTCTGTGATCAGAACCGTCACGGAGGCCGGGGCAGAGGACCTCTGTGGGAAGTCAGCACAGTGAGCTGTTAACTCTGCCTCAGAGGATTGGACACTGTTTGACCAAGGGGATGATATTTGAGCTGGGCTTTGGAGGTTGAAGAGTATTCTGCAAGGCAGCGAGGGAGAGAAAGGCAGGTCAAGATCGGGGAACAGTGCGTACCCTGGCGTGGCTAGACTGTACGGGGCGTGTGTAGGCGTTGGCAGGGGAGTGGTGGCAAGGAGCACTGGGGGTTGATGCTGGAACGCTGGGGCAGAGCGAGTTGGAAGGACTTGGCTTAAATGCCAGACTCGGGCTTTATCCTGCAGGCCACAGAGAGCCAGCGGTGTCACGGGGCAGGTCGAGCTTTTAGGAGACTACCTGGTTGAGGAGGGACTGGATTTGGGGAAGAACTGGAGTCAGGGAGAGACAGGTGAAGAGGCCATTGCCATAGTTCAGGCAAGAAATGATGACCTGAACTAGGGCAGCAACAAAGGGAGTGGAGGGGAATAGCCATGTTTGAGAAATGTTTCAAGAACTTGGTGACAACTGGATATGGAAGGTGAGGAAGATACAGGATGAGTAGAGAGGACAGCATCTAAGGTAGGGAGAGGAGCAGGCTTGGTGGGGTGGTGGGAACAGAGAAAAGGAGTTCAATGTTGACCTTAAGCTTGAAGAGTCTAAGACACCCTGGGAGACGCAGACATGCCAGCGAACATTGGAGCAGGGTTTAGTACTCATGAAAGACGATCAGGACTGGAGATTTGAATCTCATTACCACAAGGGTGCAAACTAAAGGCTTATAGTATATTTTACTGTATTGCCCAGGAAGAGCAGACAGGTCAAGTAAAGGGAGGAGAATGAAAACCTGAGCCACACCAACATTTAGGGGCAGGAGGAAGCAATGAAGAGGGGAGATGGTGTAGGACCCAGTGCCGCTTAATCTTCATGACCGCCTGGTAAGGCAGGAGTCACCTCTGCATTGTGCTGAGACCTCAGTGCTTGGCTTGCCTAAGGTGCTGTAGCTGGAGAAGGTCAGTGTTTGAACTTGAGCCCTTCATTCAACTCTGAAGCCGCTGCCCCTTCCATCCTACTAGGCTGCCGCTTGCAAGGCTGGAAACAAGAACTTGGAGGAGTGGAAGGAAGCCAGGAAGAGAGCAGTGTGTGGAAGCCAGGGGAGGGCACGGTGTCAAGGAGAGGAGGTCAATAGTGCCAAATGCCTCAGAGGGGTCAAGTAGGATGAGGACTGCAAAGACACCTCCACTTTTCAATTCAGAGGCCCATGCGGCCTTTAGGGGCAGTTTCAGTGAAGTGGTGGGAGCGGAAGAGAAGGCAGCAGGATGATAGAGGCTTCCTTTTCAGTATCTCTGGGACTTGCCCCGCAAGCCCACACATGCAAATGCCCAACTCTGCACACCTCATGCTTATAGTAGCCTCTTAACCCATCTCAACTCCATCCACTCTGCCACAACAGCAAGGAACATTATGGTGGAGGCGGGGCCGCCATGCCTTGCACCAGGGAGGATGGCAGAGACCGACGCACAAGGTGGTGGAGGCCGGGGTGTTGTCTCCATCTTATTCCTGTTCTGTCCATTACCTTGCTGCAGCGATCAGTATCTGACTCTAAGAACCTCAGGTCCCGTTTCCAGGCCCCTGCGCCTTCGAGCAGATCGGAAGCCCTAAGTCTTGGTTTCCTCTTGTGTAAAATAAAGGAGTTGTTAAAGGGGCCTTCCAGCTCTGACTGCCTTGAATCCCATGAAATCCAAACTCCTAAAATCCTCTCCTAAATAATCCTCAAGATTTGAGGCTTCTCCTCCAGGGCATCCTCATTAACCTGCTGCTCTGTCATAGATACGTTCCTGCATTTAAGCAAACATCTCTCTCTAAGCCTCTGAACATAACACATCTTGCCATTATCTCTCCTCCTCACCTACACACCCAAATACACACACACTCACACACATATACACACACATCCATACACACACGCACACACGCACATCCCACACACCCCACCCCTCACACACACATCACACACACACACAATCCCCACCCCCCACACATCCCACACACACACACAATCCCCACCCCCCATACATCCCACACACACACACACATCATCCCCACCCCCCACACACACATCACACACACACACACACACACACACAAACCCCACCCCTCACACACACATCACACACACACACAATCCCCACCCCCACATATCCCACACACACATACACACAATCCCCACTCCCCACACACACACACACACACACATACACACAAACCCCACCCCTCACACACACATCACACACACACACAATCCCCACCCCCGCATATCCCACACACACATACACACAATCCCCACCCCCACATATCCCACACACACACACACAATCCCAACCCCACACACATCCCACACAAACATACACACAATCCCCACTCCACACATACCCATCACACACACACATACACACAATCCCCACACCCAACACACACATCACACACACACACCCTTCCACCCTCCACACACACACACACACACACACACACACACGCCATTATTTCCACTGGGATCTGCCAGCCCCAGACATCTCGTTATCTAGCTTTATCTTTCCTTGGGAGAGGAATAGGAGGGGGATAAGCCCTTAATACTGCTTTCCTTTTGTCTCCTCTCCTTCCCACTAGGTGATCATGGTAACCGGGGATCACCCTATCACAGCCAAGGCCATTGCCAAAGGCGTGGGCATCATATCAGAGGGGAATGAGACTGTGGAGGACATTGCGGCCCGGCTCAACATTCCCGTGAGTCAAGTCAACCCCAGGTGAGGCCTCTGCAGGAAGTCCCTGCCCCCACAATCAACACGTCCTCTTGCCCAGGAGGCTTGGGTGTCCCCTGGGGGTACTGGACAGCACTTCTGGGACCTTTATGGGCCTTACATCTGACACTACTGTGAGTGGTTCCTCAGCCCTGAGCTTGTGTCCAGGCTGTGCCACTGAATACCTGTGTAACCTTGGAGATGTCACATTCCCGTCCTGAGCCTCCATCTTCTCACCACAAAATTAGGGTGCTATCTCCATTGCTGTGGGAGTGGGGTGTGTGTAAAGAAACTAGGACAGGGCCTAGCAAACTGCATTTACGACTGCAGTGATCCCATGGTGAAGGTTTAGAGTCACATCCTCAGAGAGATATGGGGAAAGTGAGTATTCAGGACAGGACAAGTGAAGCAACAGGGAACTGAGCTCAGCAGGGAGACTGCAGGCCTCGGTGGTGAGGAGAGGTGGGGGCAGCCGGGGCTGGTGCAGGTGCAGGGGGTCAGCCGTCTCTGCCCCACCCACCCTCCAGGGAAGCCAAGGCGTGTGTGGTGCATGGCTCTGACCTGAAGGACATGACGTCGGAGCAGCTCGATGAGATCCTCAAGAACCACACGGAGATTGTCTTTGCGCGAACATCTCCCCAGCAGAAGCTCATTATTGTGGAGGGATGTCAGAGGCAGGTGAGCGCAGCCATGGCAGGCAGACGGCAGGCAGGGACTGGGGAGGCAGGGACAGTCCAAGAACAAGCATGGAGTGACGCAAGACGGGCCAGGCTTGGGCAGGGTCTTTGTCCTCAAGTGCTGGCTGTCTTCCTTCCAGGGAGCCATTGTGGCCGTGACGGGTGACGGGGTGAATGACTCCCCTGCACTGAAGAAGGCTGACATTGGCATTGCCATGGGTATCTCTGGCTCTGACGTCTCTAAGCAGGCGGCGGACATGATCCTACTGGATGACAACTTTGCCTCCATCGTCACGGGGGTGGAGGAGGGTGAGGAGCTGTGTGGTCTGGGACACTTGCAGGATACTGAAGCCAGCACCTCTGCTTCCAGTCCCTTTACCCTAGTTGAAGAATCATCCCAGGACTCTAGGCAGCCCAGCCCGCTTTAACTTCCCTTGAACACAAAATCTTTCTCTCTCAGGAAGACAGGCAGCCATGCTTCAGGGGCTGGGGGTGGGGAAGAGTCCCTCTGACCTCCCTGATGCCCTCAGAACCTCCCCACAGGCCGCCTGATCTTTGACAACCTGAAGAAATCCATCGCCTACACCCTGACCAGCAACATCCCCGAGATCACCCCCTTCCTGCTCTTCATCATTGCCAACATCCCCCTACCTCTGGGCACTGTGACCATCCTCTGCATTGACCTGGGCACAGATATGGTGAGCGCAGGAAGTGGAGAGCGGACAGGCAAGGCAACCGTGAGGGCACAGTGGTGGGGAGGAGAGGTGCACTGGGGCAGCTCCCCGGCTGTTGGGGTCACAGGAGACAGGCCGAGCCTGGAAGGCAATGGGGTCTGAATACAAGCTTGTTTAACTGTGTCAAAGATCTTCACTGCTGAGCATCCATTGCTCCTGACGTCTCGCATGTCCCTTCAAATGCCCTCCCTGCCCCACTTCCACCCCACACAGGTCCCTGCCATCTCCTTGGCCTATGAGGCAGCTGAGAGTGACATCATGAAGCGGCAGCCGAGAAACTCCCAGACAGACAAGCTGGTGAATGAGAGGCTCATCAGCATGGCATATGGACAGATCGGTGCGCCAAGCCCTGGGGCTCGGGAGGGAACCCCCAGAGGGTTCTTTTCCCAGCTTTCAGAGGAATGAACCCCAAGCAAAATTCCGGGAAAGGGGCCAGCTCCCCAAAGGTCAGGGATCTCCATCTCTGGCCCTGAGGGGCTGCCTTGCTTCTGCTTCCTGCTCTGACCCAGGCCCTGCCTTTGGCCCTCTACCCACAGGGATGATTCAGGCACTGGGTGGCTTCTTCACCTACTTTGTGATCCTGGCAGAGAATGGTTTCCTGCCATCACGGCTGCTGGGAATCCGCCTCGACTGGGATGACCGGACCATGAACGACCTGGAGGACAGCTATGGACAGGAGTGGGTGGGTGGTGCTGTGTAAATGCAGTGCACGTGTGTGAAGCTGCGGGGAGCTGAATGCCTGGCAAGGGTGACCAGTGGTGGCCAGCTGAGACTGGGGCTAGGGATGCATCAGGAGAAAGCATGCTACGTTCTGGTCCTGCCTATTCCTCCGACACTCTCATCTCCCTCTGCTCTCTCCCTCCAGACCTATGAGCAGCGGAAGGTGGTAGAGTTCACTTGCCACACAGCATTCTTTGCCAGCATCGTGGTGGTGCAGTGGGCTGACCTTATCATCTGCAAGACCCGTCGCAACTCAGTCTTCCAGCAGGGCATGAAGTGAGTGCCCGCCCCGACGGCACCCACCCACCCCCCAGGCTCTGGGCACACTCACCCATCCACACAGGCCAGGCTTCCAACTCAGCCCTGGACCAGAAATGTAAGGGGGGCATCAGATTTTAACCTTCCATCTGTATATCCATAAATAGGTTTCATATAGAAGAGAGGAGAGGAACGAACGCTGTGACTATTTCCAATGAGTTCTAATTTTGCTCCTAAAATGCGTTTTGCTATCATCTCCCTCCAACTTCCCTCCCTTCCTTCCCCCATCTCCTACTTGAGAGCCACTGCCCACATCCTTTGCCCATCCCTAAATCCAGTGTCTTCTGTGCCCAGCCCTCCCCTGGCCTCCTCTAGTTTATAGCCCCTGAACTGTGGTGCTGGAGGCTGCGTGCTGCTGAGGGTCAGGCTCGGTGCCTTCCTGCAGTGTGCTAAGCACCTAACACATTCCTTAACCTCACGATAGCCCCATGAGGTGGGTATTATTGTTTACATCTCATGGATAAGAGGCCCCAAACAGGCTAAATGATGTGCCCAAGGTCACGAAGATGGTAAGGGTCCACCACATCTGTCTCTGAAGCCCAGCTTCCAAACCGTCTGGCAACGTTTGGAACTCAGTAATGATCGTGATTCCAGCCTGGGTGGTGGCTGAGTGCCGAAGGTATCCTGCTGGTTCCTTTTATTTTCTCCTACTGTAAATAATGGCCACGATTCCTCAAATGAGCTTGTCATCGTTTCTTAGTTTGGGGCTGGGGAGGGTGGGGAGAAGATGCCAAAGTGAAGTTAATAGCACTTAAGGTCCATGGGAGAAAAAAAGTGAAGAGTCTGTTAGATAAATAAAGGTAATATGAAGGAAGGACATGCCAGTAAGCAAAAAATACTAATGGAAAAAATGCCATTTGAAGAGAACAAGGAGCAGAGAGTCTAAGAAATTGGGTATAGTTCTGGGGCTTCGGACTTACTGTGCACTGCATGTGTGACACAGGAAGGTGGGAACGTGGCCAGACTGGCAACATCCAGCCCATCTTAGCGGCAAATAGGAAAGATGGAAATGAAAGTCGGGCTGGGTACAGAGGAAGAGCACTAACACCGCCGCAGGCCTCACCTTAGGTCCCTGGGCCATTGAGGATCCTCAGAGATGCTGTTTGCCTTATTTTGAAAAGCTTTATGGAAGCAAAGCACCCCCCTATGAGAGCACAACCAGGCTTACTCTGACTCATTCTCAGGCAAAAGCCGAGAACACATATCATGAAGTAGTGATCGAATGCTGATCCACAGTTCAGTTTGGAAGCCATGGATATTTCTAAGTAATTTTAAATGGGGAAATGTATTCATTACCTCTTCCCAAATGCAGCTTGAGAGACAAAAATAAAAAACCATTAAATGTGGCCTTTACAGAAGCAAATAAGGGGATCCTTAGTGAGTGAAAATTTGGAAATCACTGGCTTAAACCAAGCGTTTATAAAGAGGCACCTTGTATAAGAATACAAAGGATGGAGTAGGCCAGGCACAGTGGCTCACGCCCGTAATCCCAGCACTTTGGGAGGGCGAGGCAGGAGAACCACCTGAGCCCAAGAGTTTGATACCAGCCTGAGCACATGGTGAAACTCCATCTCTACAAAAAAACACAAAAATTAGCAGGGCGTGGTGGCACGCACCTGTAATTCCAGCTACTGGAGAGGGTGAGGCAAGGGAATCACTTGAGCCCAGGAGGTGGAGGTTAGAGTGACCTGTAATTGTCCGGCCTGGGTGACAGAGTGAGGCTCTGTCTCAAAAAAAAAGTGCAGTAATAATATGACTGAACATTTTCCATGTTTCAGAGCTTTTCACATATTATCTCCCATAATTTTCCCAGTGACCCTTTGATAAAAAGGTAAAATCTCCATTTTATAAAGAAGGATCATGAGGCTCAGAGAAATCCAACATTCCCTGCAATCCAAAGCTAGTCAGTGGCAGAACTGGGAAGAGACTCCACCTGTCTGACTGCAGAGACTGCCCTCACAACCTCCTCATTCTATCCTGCTTTCCAATTCTGACATAGTGAACAGATATTAACCACTTATGTATTGAGCATCCCCTTTACATTCCCTGAATTAAATATCTATGATGAAACCACCACCAGGAACTGTGGGGGATGCTGAGATGGTGGAAGACATACATGGGGCCTGCACTGAAGGAGCTTTCCAGCATCTTGCTGGGGAGACAACACTTTCCCAGGCCCTGTGCCTGGAATGATAACAAGATCATGAGTTGCATGAGACGGGCCCCATATTGACCACTGTGTCTCCAATACAGAACACGTCACCCAACACCTAAAAACAATTATTTAATGAATGAATGTATGTGCAATAGACAACATTCAAAGGTAAACTCAGTAAGCAGAAAAAGAAACATCTTCCTTTGGTTACATAAGGCATGAGAAGAGGATGTTGGAAGAAGACATGGGACTTGTCATTTATAATTCTCTCTCCTCTTTCCCTTCCACCCCACGAGTATCCCAGGATCCCTCCCTCCTTGATTCCCCTCCACCTGCTACCCTCCTTTCTTTGCCTTTCAGGAACAAGATCCTGATTTTTGGGCTCCTGGAGGAGACGGCATTGGCTGCCTTTCTCTCTTACTGCCCGGGTATGGGTGTGGCCCTCCGCATGTACCCACTCAAGTGAGTGTCCCTTTCGGGTGGCCTGAGTAGTCGTACAGGGACTTGAGCCCCCTCCAGGATCCAAGTTCTCATCAGTTTGAATGCTCCTTTATGTGATGGCTGCCGAGCCGACCTCTGGCGATCCTGACGCACTCCTCCATTGCTTTCAGGGTCACCTGGTGGTTCTGTGCCTTCCCCTACAGCCTCCTCATCTTCATCTATGATGAGGTCCGAAAGCTCATCCTGCGGCGATATCCTGGTGGTAAGCCCCTCCACCTCCCCCCAGCAAAGTGCAAGCCCGTCACCAGCTCCTCCCTCCAGGACGCCATACACAGACCCCACTTCCACTATGGATTCCTGCTCCTGTTCCTCAACACCCTCAGATCCTGGGGTCCCAGGTCCCAGGTGCCCTGACTCTCTTGAGCCTCTTGTCTCTGCCCTCTTCCCGTCAGATTCTAAGTCCTCCCTAACTCACAACTGGTCTCCGAGGCCCTCTGCCTTCCACCTGAAACCACAGAACATCAGAATGAGAAGGGCCTTTCCAGGTCACCTAGTCCCACCTCCATATTTTATAGAGAGAGGAGGTGCAGAGATGAATCTGTTCATGGTCATAAAGCAAAGAACAGCAGGACTGGCATTAGAACCCGAGCCTCCTGATGTCCACACATCACCCGACAAGTTACTGGTTTTCCTACAAGCATTTTTTATCACTTAGTAGAGGTTAAAAATTGATGGCTTGCC